TCAGCAATGAAGCCATAAGCGCTGTCCTGTTGCGCGAAGAGGCCCAGGAACAACAGCCAATATTCTTCGTCAGTAAAGCACTCCAAGGACCAGAGCTGCGCTATCAATAGATTGAAAAAGTCTCTTTCGCGTTAATCTTAACATCGCGACGCCTGCGCCATTATTTCCAGGGGCACACTATCAGAGTTCGAACGAACCAACCCCTTCGACATGTGCTTCGACAACCTGATTTAGCAGGCCGCACGATCTCATGGTCAATAGAGTTGTCAGAATACGACATCATCTATGAACCGCGACAAGCAATTAAAGCCCAGATACTAGCAGACTTCCTGTTTGAAATGACACACCTACGTGAGGCTGAGAACAGTGTCGATTGGGTCATTTATGTCGACGGATCCTCCAATATCAAAGGGAGCGGTGCAGGAGTCATCGTGGAAAGCCCTCACGGTATTACAGTGGAGCACTCTATCCATTTTGGATTCAAAGCTTCAAACAACCAAGCCGAGTACGAAGCAGTCCTCACAGGACTCACCATGGCCAAAGATTTGGGGGCAACAAATATAACCCTCAAGAGCGATTCACAATTAGTAATTGCTCAAGTCCAAGGAAGTTACCAGGCAAAAGAGGCATTAATGATAAAATATCTTGAAAAAGTGAGACTACTTCTGATAAAGTTTCAAAGCTTCAAAATGGAGCACATCCCCAGAGAGCAAAACTCACGGGCTGACATTTTATCCAAGTTAGCTAGCACAAAAGGACCAGGAAATAATAGAACGGTGATCCAACAAAGCGTCCTTAATCCTAGCATCATAATGGCTGTAACCAAACGAAAAGCTCAACCATCCCCAAGCACGCAATCCATGGTCGAGGATGACACCATGCCGCTGGATGATAAAGAAACTTGAATGACACCAATCTGGAATTATTTATTCAAAGGAGAAGCACCTCAAGAACAGCGCGCAGCCAAAAAGCTAGCGTGCAAGGCTTCGTTCTACTCCATCATCAACAACCAACTTTACAAAAAGGGATTCTCTTCCCCTATGCTTAAATGCCTAGATCCCCAACAAGCTCGGTACGTAATCTCTGAAGTACATGAGGGAATTGGCAGACACCACATGGGAGACAAATCCTTATCTCGAAAACTGCTCCGGGCAGGATACTTCTAGCCTACTATGGAAGAGGATTCTAAAAAACACGTGCGGCATTGTGTCAAATGTCAAGAGCACGCAGACTTACACCATGCTCCCCCTGAGGAATTATCTTCAATGCTATCCCCCTGGTCATTCTACCATTGGGGCATGGACATACTGGGACCATTCCCAGTCGCCGCATAAGGGTTCAAGTGGTTGCTGGTAGCAATTGACTGCTTTTCCAAAAGGATCAAGGCAGAAGCGTTAGCCACAATATCAGCTAACAAGGTTCACCGATTCTTCTACCGACAAATCATAAGTCGGTTCGGCGTTCCACATACTATTATAACCGATAATGGCACACAGTTTGTGGACAGAAAATTCAATCAGATTCTTCAAGACTTGCATGTCAAACACCGATACACATCGGTTGAACATCCACAAACTAACAGATTGGCAGAAGCTGCAAATCGAGTCCTCAAACGCGGATTGGAAAGAAGACTAGAAGCAGCTAAAGGAGAATGACCTGAACAACTAGACTTTGTGCTATGGGGTTACAGGACAACCAAACATTCAACTACAGGTGAAACCCCATTTCGCATGGTCTACGGTAGTGAAGCCATGATCCCAGTAGAAATCAGAGAACCATCATGGAGAAAGATGTACACGAACGAAGACAGCAACTCACAAGCATTGCTCCATAACTTGGACGCGATAGAGGAAATGCGCGAGATCGCGCACGTCAAAGAAATAGCACTCAAAAAGAGAATAGCAGCGCGATATAACTTAAGGGTTGTAAAACGAGGCTTCAACGTGGGCGACTTAGTCCTACGCAGAGCTGACATTGGCAATAAGAACGCGCGACAAGGAAAATTGGCCGCAAACTGGGAAGGACCTTATCGCATCTACAACAAAACTGATAAGGAGGCATATGTCATTGAGACATTATCCGGACTTATTATCCCACGCACATGGAACACGGACAAGCTTAAGACATTTTATAGCTAAGTCTCTCACGACTCACAACATATTTGTCTTTTCAATTTATTGTTCCAAATAAAAACTGGCCAATTTCCTTTACTATTGATCAAATTTTGCATCAAGTTTAAGTACATAGGATCACAACGTTCCCTTGAACCGTTGCTCTAATACCATAAAATGTAACACCCCGTGTATACTCGGAATATTAACATTACATCGTATTAAGCGGTGCTTAATTAAAAATGCGGAATATTCTTTTTCTTTTCAATTATGATGTCATTATCAATTACCAACTTGTTTACTTAATCAATTTCATAAAATATCGCCTGTATGTAAATTGCAATAAGACATCTACTGAAATACCTCAATATATAGATAAAGTGTGTATCTAAATCACGACATTACATCAAGTAATCCGGACAATATCCTGATACATTATTACAACTCCAAAAGACTCAAGACAAAAACAAAACATAACCGTACTATGTGTCATGGATAATCCCCATGCTCACCAAATAAACATAGTAAACAACAAGTCTCAACAAAAAACTTCAAAGCATAAACTGAAGCTATAAGCATAAAAGCAGCATTCAAATCCAGTATCCAATCAAGGCAGCATAGTAAAACAGCAATCTAACTCAGCTCCGGCCTCCTGCCGCCTGAGGTCTCAACATTACCTGACCCTGAAATAAGCATTCCCCAAACGTGGGGTGAGATCTCTAAACTAGAAATCTCAGTAAGACAAGGGGTCCTCAAGGATCTTCCACCCCAAGCTCACTTACATGTGCAATATAAGTTCAAAAAGCATTTATATCATTATCAGTTCCAAAACTATGTAGTGCAACAGATATCTATGGCATGTGTGTAATCACTATCTACTGGCCAGAGAAATGTAGGAATACGTTTATTCCCTACATGTAGCACAAGGAACACCGCTTGCACCTCACCCACAGCCTCACCCTCTTGTATGTTCTACATACTCAGGCTTACCGTATAGGTGGAACACCTCCATGCATATCAACAAGGCACTAACATATAATAGCTCAACAGCATTTCTAAAACATCAAAAACATGTAACACAGCATGCATATACCATATCTCCATGGGACATGGTGGAACCACAACATGGCTAAACCGAGGAAACGAAAGCTTACCTCTAAGCTAGCTATCCAATGCCACAAGCTCAAAGTCCAATCACAGCAGATCACAATCTGATATGGACCAAATATAAATCAATAAACATGTACCAAATGTATACAAATTAAAGACAACGCCTTTTCATTACGTTTTCAAGTCTTAAAGCTTGTAACAAAGCCACAAGTCCTTAATCCCACGATTCTGGCTTAGACCAATACATACAGAAGTTCAACTTCATCAGACTAGGGTCCACAAACCCCCAATAGCCTACTGTACACACAGCACAGCTACTGTTCTGCGAAATCGCAGAATATCCAGATATTCCTCGGGACCATATCCGGATATGCAATATCCGGATATCTTACTGTCCCTATCCGGATATGCAATATCCGAATATACAGATTCACATATCCGGATATCCAATATCCGGATATCCCAAAACCACATATCCGGATATCCAATATCCGGATATCTGTTCGACAAATATCCGGATATTTCACGACAGAATGCAGTTTCTGCATTTTCGTGAAGATATCCCTTAAAGGTTCCCTTTTTACTGATTTTAAACACCTAATCATGCATTTCTAGGCGTGTTCAACATTACCCAACAACAAGTTATCATCTTTTAGTCATTAGAATCATCAAGGTACCATTTTTAAGCTTTTAAACTCAAGTTAAAGGTTGGTACACATACCCCAGCTCAAAACAGAAGGAAAGGTTGCCCTTTGGAACTCACAATCAGTCTCAAGCTACTGTCACAAGAGGATGCACGAAAATGGTAAGAAAGGTTGACCCTTTAGCACAAAAGATCAACACTAGGACCACCAAAAACCAAGACAAGGCTTCTTTCAACCCAACCACCAAGGTCAGCCCCCAAACAAATAAGAACAATTGCTGATCACTTAGAAAAATGGTGTCTTCCAACCTCCCAAGGCTCACTCAAACAAGAACAAGTGTTTAGGGAGAAGGTTTTAAGAAGAAACAAGCATAAAATGATCACAAAGACTCAAAATGGAGAAGATGGCAATGGAACAGTATAGGAGGTCAGCCACCAAGGAGAACTCACGCTGGTTTTCTGTTACCTAGGGTTGTGAGCCCTTAAAGGAGTATAAATAGCCAACTCACACTTAAACACACAGTATTAACTTTAATTGCTACGCTTAGCATCTTAATCCCAAACTTTGGATTATGAGACTACATAATTTTCTAAGATTTATCATATTTTTCTTATAATTTTCTGAGCAACTTTTCGGTACGCGCTTTTCAAAGCCAGTATCGGTTTCTAGCACCAGTTCTCATTATTTGGACTTGAAACTCGTTTTACAAGTCCAACATATTATTCTAGTAATTATCATGCTCTTACTTTAATTTTCCGGGATACTTTTTTGGTACGCATTTATACCGACTAGCAGAACCAGTATCTGCACTTTTCTCCCGAAAAGCGACTTTCAGCATTCTTAATCACTTATTATGATTATTAAGCCTCATAAATAATTATTAGGGTCAATTATGGAATCATTTCCTATTTTTGCATAATTAATTAATTAAATACCTTAATTAACGGTGCAGGTTCTTACAGTTATTGTCAAAAAAGATTCTCTCACGAATCCTCCAATTCACAGGATACCTCTCATGGTTCCTATCAAGTTACAGGATTCTCTCACGAATCCTCCAATTAACAGGATACCTCTCATGGTTCCTATCAAGTTACAGGATTCTCTCACGAATCCTCCAATTCGCCGGATACCTCTCATGGTTCCTATCAAGTTACAGGATTCTCTCACGAATCCTCCAATTAACAGGATGCCTCTCATGGTTCCTATCAAGTCACCGGATTCTCTCACGAATCCTCCAATTCACAGGATACACCTCTTGGTTCCTATCAAGTTACAGGATTCTCTCACGAATCCTCCAATTAACAGGATACCCCTCATGGTTCCTATCAAGTTACAGGATTCTCTCACGAATCCTCCAATTCACAGGATACCTCTCATGGTTCCTATCAAGTTACAGGATTCTCTCACGAATCCTCCAATTCACAAGATACATCTCATGGTTCCTATCAAGTTACAGGATTCTCTCACGAATCCTCCAATTCACAGGATACCTCTCATGGTTCCTATCAAGTTACAGGATTCTCTCACGAATCCTCCAATTAACAAGATACCTCTCATGAGGATTCATTCACGAATCCTCCAATTCACAGGATACCTCTCATGGTTCCTATCAAGTTGCAGGATTCTCTCACGAATCCTCCAATTAACAAGATACCTCTCATGGTTCTTATCAAGTTACAAGATTCTTTCACGAATCCTCCAATTCACAGGATACCTCTCATGGTTCCTATCAAGTTACAGGATTCTCTCACGAATCCTCCAATTCACAGGATACCTCTCATGGTTCCTATCAAGTTACAGGATTCTCTCACGAATCCTCCAATTAACAGGATACCTCTCATGGTTCCTATCAAGTTACAGGATTCTCTCACGAATCCTCCAATTCACAGGATACCTCTCATGGTTCCTATCAAGTTACAGGATTCTCTCACGAATCCTCCAATTCACAGGATACCTCTCATGGTTCCTATCAAGTTACAGGATTCTCTCACAAATCCTCCAATTCACATGATACCTCTCATGGTTCCTATCAAGTTACAGGATTCTCTCACGAATCCTCCAATTCACATGATACCTCTCATGGTTCCTATCAAGTTACATGATTCTCTCACGAATCCTCCAATTAACAGGATACCTCTCATGGTTCCTCTCAAGTTACAGGATTCTCTCACGAATCCTCCAATTAACAGGTACCTCTCATTGTTCCTATCAATTAATGGGATTCTCTCACGAATCCTCCAATTCACAAGATACCTCTCATGGTTCCTGTCAAGTAATAGGATTCCCTCACGAATCCTCCAATTAACAAGAATCCTCCCATGGATCCTATCAGCTAAAGGGATTCTCTCACGAATCCTCCAACCAGCAGACTCCCCCACATAGATCTCCTCAACAGATCAGAACTATTCAAGTCCAAACCTGCCAAGTCATATCGCGACTATCTAGGCTTAGACGCGAGGGCCTGCACAAATAAAGGTATGCCATATACTTTGCAATATTACTTATGAACTATCTGGACATGCAGCAAGCAGTTATAAGTGTTCAAGCGCCATACGGCGTACACAATACAGTTCCAGATACATGACATACAATAGCATAAGGACTCCTTACATTCACAGGATCCTATACCTAAAGGATTCTTCTATGACCAAACACGACATGCTTGGTAAAAAACCGCGGAAATACACACATCCGCGCAACACAGATGGGACACACTTCAATTGGGTTATAACTCCATCCGTGGTACGACTGTCAAACAACATAACAAAGAATGCGAAGAGCCAAAAGAAGAATGAAGGGAAGGGTAATAACCCATTGCAGAGTATGCAATATATCAACATTCTACAGGAAAACAGAATAACAAGCATTCATTTGGCAACACATACACCATATATATTCAATAAGTCCAAATGTCATGACTCCAAAATTGAGGGAACAAAACCCCTTCCACAAATCATTGTTATGGGGATACTCCCCTTACAAAAACAAAAATATTTAACAGGTCAGATCAAGAGCAAAAAAAAGAAAAATATCAGACTGTTTGAATGGACATGTCCTGAGGAGTATCAGCTTCAGCAGCACGCTCACCATCAACAGCAGGAGGACCTTGAGGAGATGGCTCCTGCAAGGATGGCGCGATAGGTTCAGTATCCATCGCACTGATTAGCTCAACTGGGACTTCTTGATTCTGATCATTAAGGGTCACCAGCTGACCATCCTTGAAGTAATGATAGTAATGCACATTCTCCAGCTTAGCAGAGGAATTGAAAAAGCACACTTGCTCCATGACATTTACGAAGGTGGCCTCAGCTTCTTTTTCGAATAAACTCTGATACCTCTTCACCTCACTGGTCAAGGAGGCCTTCTCATCAGCCCAGGTATCAGCGTTCCCCTCTAGCTCCAGGACGCGCCTATTCAGGTCAATCTTTTTCTCCTCCAATCCTCGGTTGGAGGTCGTCAGCTTCTTCACAGCGCTGTCCTTCTTCTCCATCGCCTCCTTCAACTTGGCTATTTCATCCTCAGCAGCCTTCAACTTCGCTTCGGAATCAGCACGATGTTGGGCATTCTCCCCCTTCAACTCCTCAATGCGCTCCTTCAGAAAGTCCACCGAATCTATCACATATCAAAAAGGTTATACATACAAACGCGATACTATATCGTGTAAACAAGAAGAGTACCAAGTTACTTACCAGGCGTAGTCATAATAAATTGACCGGCTGTGATCAAAATCTGGGCAAGCTGACGCCACTGATCCCGAGGTAGAGCTTCCAGACGAGAGCCAAAGTCCCTGCCTTGTGTGCGCATATCCCTCTCAGATCTCCAATCGAAGTCTGGCCACCCTGCATTAGCCCTTACAGAGATTTCATCATTTAATCTCTTCTTTCCCCTTCCAGCATCTTCCCCCACTACTGCGGTGGGAATAACATCCCGAGGGACAGAAGGAGGAGATATGGGTGTCAACGGTGCCTTTGAGCGCGCAGCAGCCTGCTCGCTTGATTCTGTCATGGCTTCGGCAGCAGATGCGGGAGGTCGAGACGGGGCGGAGGCGCCCACAATAGCAGCAGCACGGTTGGCCGCAATCCGCTTCAATTTGCTCAAAGAAGCTGCCATTGAACTATCTGCATCAAATATCAAAGACGGGTAAACACGCTAGAAGTATACAACCACCTGTTAACATCAAGCAACGCATAATTTTTTTACGAGACAAATCTGCAAACAAACAGGGTTGCATTACCCAAAAAAGCCCGAATGTCATCATCCGAATATTCATTCAAAATCGTGTATGTATTCAACAAGCCTGTTTCCGAAGCTTCTCGTGCGATGTTAGTAAGAGTCGTCACGGTCCTTTGCTCCAATTCGCTTAGTTCATCAAATTTGTAGCTCAGGATAGCATCTTTCTGAGAATGCTCAGTCCAGTATAAAGGAAAGAGAGGAGTATCGTCAACTCTCAAGAAGAAAAGAGTGGTACCCTCAGTAGGATAAATTCTAAAGTACTCGGTGGTCCACTTGGTAATCTTCCGGCAATAAGACTCACATAACTTCACTTTGCTTCTCAAAAGCGTCCAGCTTCCGCGCGACCCTATCACGCTAAACATATACATGAAGGATTTAATTGACTGAAAAAGCCGTAGGCTTTGCAGACCATCTCATAAACTCTGATAAAACCCCAAGCATTGGGGGTCAGTTGTGAGGGAGCCACATTCAAGTGTGCCAACAATTCGCACACAAACGAGGAGAATGGAAGACGAACTACTATGGACAAAAAAGGTAGGAGTACATCATGATAAAATGGCGGGTTGACCCTTCTGCCCGCGCAGAACACACACGTTCATTTTTTGGGACGACATCCACTTCCCATTGGTCGTCATGAGCCTTATCAGGGGTCAGGTGCATAGCGATTGTTACTTCCGCTAACTCTCCGGGAGAACACAACACTGACTCGGTATCCAGCACCGTGTCTTTACACAGCTTAAAGAGTCCTCATCTCTTAAGTTCCGCCTGACTGGGGACTCATCTTCAGGGTCGAAGTAAACAATGTTCTTCTTGGGCGCTTGATTCACCTTCTGTCTCTTCTTCTCGGTCGAACCGCGCTTCTCAGTAGCACCACATTTTGCCATTATTTCCTTAATTCGAGGAGACACGAAATCTGATTTAGAAGAAGAGGAATCAGTGGAAGAAGACAAGTCAGCAGAAACAGGTTTATCAAAATTCCTTTTCTTAAAAGGATATCCGGCTGAATAAATAACATTCAAAGGCAAAGGACTAGGACTTTTTCGACCAAAAGACTCATGCGCGATAGAGCAAGAAGAATAGCGTGATGAATTTGAAGAATACTTGGCGCTTTTCGAATCAACTGATTTATAACTACTGTCCGTATTAGAAGAGGAGTCACTCGATATCACAATGGGCTTAGACATGTTCAAGGAAAACTTGGGAAGCACAGACGAGCTATGCTCTGACAATGTCTTTCCGCGATTAGATTGTTGCGATGATGATCTTAACTCAAAGGTACGAATTGAGGGGACATGCTTAGCATAAACTTTGGAACAGGGGGCCAGACTTCCTACAGTAGGACTGTTATCCCTGGTTCCCAAAGACCGTGATCTTGGTAACAGTCCCGAAGGAGGACTGGACGAACCAGACCGTTCAAGAAATCTGATAAAATCCGCACATTTGCGATTATCAGACATGCCACAAACACAAAGAAGGAAATAATGAACAAGATGAAAGGAACAAAGATAAAACAGGGGGTAAGAAGAAAGAACGCACCTGAGCTTTATACTTCGGAAGTTCACACCAAAAGCAGGATGTGTCACCACCGGAAATGCAGAAGCAAGCTCTGAGAGACGAAGAGAGTTTTTTTTCCACAAAATCACTGAAATGATCTTCCCTTCAAATGAAAAGGCTCAAATACGAAGAGTTTTTCCAACGGATAGACCAAAAGCCGTGAAACGTGTTAAACACAACGGGTTAATAGGGACACGTGGCAGGAAGGGGAAGCGTTTTACTTACAAAACCACCCATGCCTATCCTTAAACCCCCACGTAATCACAACAACATTTAATGTCCCTGACTGATTAGACATCTAATTCACCATTCTTAAGCGGCTGAAGGTGATGATGACATTACAAGGCTAATTACTGCGGCAGACAAAGACATGTGAGAGACAAACTACCGCGCCACATTCAAGGGCATATAGCTCACGACCTTGTCAAATGACAACACCGCAAGCTAGGGAGCAACTGATCAGGATAAAATATAGGCCCAATCAGGGCCCAATAACACATGTAAACCCAAGCCCATTAAAGACCTAGAACGAGGCTTGAAGGACAGCCACAGACGCGATGATCATATCACGGCACACCAGACGCGATGCCTTCATCGCACCATACAAGACGCGATGCCCTCGTCGCGCCATACAAGACGCGGTGGCCTCATTGCGCACGATACCTTCTACATGAAGTAAGCTTAAAGGCCAAGGCAACTCCACCGTGCCTTAACACCAGTAAGCAACAGACAGCTCCAGCTCGCCACAACTCTAATACTAGACACCATGGCAGTAAACTCCTCAACATTTAATCATGATAGCCATACTACTTTGGCACCAAGGAACCGTTGCCTTCACCATGAAGAAAGGCATCCTCCAAGCACACATCACAACTACTATATAAACACACGATGTACCACCAAGGTACGATCATCCTTAACTTTCACAACATAAACATCTGCCTCTGATACTGACTTAAGCATCGGAGTGTCTTTGCAGGTACCCCTCCATTTGGTGCATCGTGAATGACAAAGGGGCTCAAGCTCACTCCAACAACAGTACCAGGCTCAGGCCAATAACCACTGAAGGACCCTCAACCATGTGTGATTGAGCTTAATACGAATGGGACCATCCATACCGTATTTGGTCCGATCAAAAAGCTTATTGGAAAGAAAAATTTGTTGTAGGATTACCAACTGTCTTTGCAACTAAAGTTAAAGAAAATATTTCGTGAACAATATCCTACGGTTCAATTAATAGAGTTAACTTATGAAAGAATTATTTCAGTAATAAAAAAGACAGGTTTAGAAATTTGTAATAATATGAAAATAAAAAACATAATAAGAAAAGCCCAAGCGAGTGGAATTAAAGAATTAGGTGCATTTCGTGAACAATATGGTTTTAAAAAACCAACTCCCCTGTCAATTATACGAAAAAAGAAAAAAAATTAACATAGCTAATAATAATTATAAGAATAAAACCTTTAAAAAGAATAATTCAAATAAAAAGTTCATAAAAAAATTAAAAATAAAAACCAAAATTATTCTAATAAAGTATGCTATAAATGTGGAAAGGTAGGACACACAAAAAATTATAAGCATTATGAAGCAAACTTATTGCATCTCGACAAAGATGTAATGAAAAACATGCAATTACACAAGGTATTGTGTCAAATAAAATTTTCTATTTGTTGATATTTTTAATTTAAATATTCATACCATGGAAAACGAGGAACTACTCTCCTTCATGAATTATATATATATATATATA